TTTGAGAATCAATTACTCATTCACCTGTTATCCGTTTTCAGTGTACCATATATCGAATTGTAGCCTTTGGCAAGGACAATCTGAAACCACTTTGACCCGAACCAAGTCGGCAGTGGACCCCACTCAAAATATTGCTCCAAATTGACCATTTAATGCAATTTGTAACACATTTTTCCAACAATCCCCCACATGAATGAAAATTGATTTTCGAGGCTTAAAAAGGACATGACGATAGGAGGACACGTTGTGTTCATCGAACGATCCCTGCATACGGAGAGGTAAGTTTTATCCTTTGAACCTTCCGCTGTAAAGACATGTTTATTTACTGGCTATCTAGTAGACTTGATGTCCTTGAACTATACTGCTGTTGTGAACTTCGCGTTGTGAACTATTTGTTCACCAGAGCTCCACTTTCAGAGTTATTGTCGTTTGGCACGTTCTGCCCACCAACATTTTGATTTTCTTGTGAAGCCATTGTTCGTGTCTTACGTTTTAAGATTGTATTTGTATGATACAAGCTTCGAATATGTTTTAAGATTGTTGAGCGTAATTCGGAAATACGAAGAAATATTAATTAAATAAAATTAATTAATAAATAAAATAGCCAAACACAAACCGAAATAGATGTGATAGAAATTAGCCAGAGCTCGTGTTACGCAAGATGTCCTTAGAACGTATTCATCTTCTCCCACGGTGCTAGGAGCGTTGCAACGACCATTTCCCAAGATACAGTGGCTAATGAACGATCGTTTGAGCACACAAACGAAAGTTTCGGCGAACGGAAACTAAGCTAGAACACTTAGGAAATTTTCAGGAAAGCTGGAGGTGTTTAATTTAGAACTCAAAAAATATGTGGTAACTGTGTATGATTGCATGTGTTGTTGCAAAGCACCTGTCAGCTATTTATAGGAGAATTTGTTGTGTGTTAAAGGAGAGTGAAGGGACCTGAACGTTGGACATCAATGACCAGTCCGTTGGACATTGAATCGTCCATGAACTGTTCATTTAACGTTGCATTAAAAGATAAGAACGGTGGGCATTTATTGATGTAACGGTCCATAATACCTCAAGCGCGGCCTTTCTGTTGCGAACAGAATACCTCGAGCCCTTTAGAAGCGGGGCGGTTCTGGTGAGACCCTCTTCTGTTTCTGACAGAAGCAGAGCGATTCTGTTGAGTACAGAACCCTCTTCTGGTCCGAACAGAAGCGGAGCACTTTTGTCAGTCTGGAAAAAAATAAAGAACGTTACGGGAAGAAACGTAACAAAAATTAAATCATATCTTTGAAAGATAGATTATTGGATGACTTTGTGTCCGCAGCTCACCCGCGCACGCAAATCGCAATTTTTCTTCTCTATTTCAAGATTTGATCAACACCACCCTTGCGCGTGAAAATCCCTTGCCTTTTCCGGTGTGGGATAAATACCACTAGAAACACATCATTTTTCTAGTTTTTCCATTTCAACGAGTGAACTTCGAGAATTAATTTCTCATTCACCCGTTATCCGTTTTGAGTGTACCATATATCGAATTGTATCCCTTAACAAGGATAGTCTGAAACTAATTTGACCCGATCCAAATCGGAAGTGGACCTCACTCAAAATATTGCCCCAAATTGACCATTTAATGCAATTTTCAACACATTTTCCCAAACTTTAAGCCATCTCTCTCGTCCAAGATGGAACACAGCAATGTTTTACTGTAGTTTTTAGTTTCTTCTTTGATCTGTTCCTCTAGTTGGTTGAGTGGGGTAGAAAGGTTAATTATGAAAAAAAAATTAAGGAAAACAAGAAAAAAACATAATAAAAATATGCCACGCACATGTTTAGGTGACCTGCTAAAGTGATTTGTGCAGGACATCGGTATTTATTTTTTAGAAGACGCCCTGATAACTTAGATTATATTACATACAATTGTCGATATTTGGGATAAATGTGATTAGGAGTTGGGACCATTCATATGATTTTTTCCTAAATATCAATGGTTGATTTAAATACTGTATATTATTCATTATCCAATGCTGCAAAATCAAATTGGGATTTTAACTTTGTGAATATAAATTTCAATTATTTCCCACCCATGCATGCATCCTAGACTAAATCACATTTGCGTGATCAGATGAGGGATTATTCAGAATTATTTTTTTGTTTGTGGGGGAGCAAGAGTGTGTTAAGTGAAGAAGCTAAGGGATCTCTTGACATATGCAAGAGGTTTGTATAAAGAAGTTATTTTGGGCAGATTTGTAGGATCATACCAAGAACGCATGCATTTCTTCACTCACAGCGTCTTCTCTCCCCTCATCTAGTCCAACTCATTATCATTAGTACCATCCACGTTTTTAGCCCGCTCTTTGCTTTACTTGTTTCTTTATTGCGTTACACACATAATAAATGGAATTAACTTTTCTCAAAACATTTCTTCTTGTAAGTAGTGTGTGATTTTTGTATAAAAGTTGAACAAAGTATAAAAATTTATTGGGAGTACATGTAAAAATTTATAAAACTACTCAATAAACATTCTTCCATCTTTGATTTCCTTCCCAAGCTAAGCAAAGAGGATAATAATTAATATAATCTTATATTGTTATATCATTCAGAAATAATTATAATGACTAGTCTATATATTTTTTTTACTATCTCTCGGGTACTTAATAATAAGGTTTAATTTTTCCTAGAATATTACTAATAAAAAAGTCATGGTAACTTTTAGTGACTATTATTATGTTCAATGTTTAGGTCATAGTCACTACATCATAGTAACTTTGAATATAATTATAGTCACTAAAAGCTATCAAGTCACATTTTTGTTCATCACCTTTGTAAGAGTAATATTAGTGGAATTTATTCCTTAATAAATCAAACTATTATAAAGAAACTAGGTAACCTTTTATAAAAAAAAGTAAATTGTATATATCTAGGATGAGAGCTCGCTTCGTCATGCTTTATACTCCGTAATTTCTTAATATGCCTCATCCATATGTGGTAATATTTACTCGATAATATCTCCATTCATCCGTCTGTTACAATAATTATGAATATAAAAATATGGATAAATTGTGATACCAATTTAAAAAAAAAAAAGAATTGGTATTAACCACACCATTTTCCATAAATGAAAAGAGAAAATATTACTACTTAAGAAGACATGAAAATAATCTTCTTTTTGTAGTTATGTATACATGTTGGTTATACAATATTTTCACTTTTAATGTATATTCTTAAAAATTCCCCTTCCAAATTTTCGTTTAAAAATGTTACAAGGAAACATATGCTTCTAATATCTTCATGCAAATGAATACTTTTAAAATATGATGTTATGAAGATTGTTTTTATCACCGTACAATTAATGTCTTCTCACCTAATTAAATTCAATTCCACCATTCTTTTCCAACGTATTAAAAAATCAATTCTATGGTTACTTTTATTTACCAATCTTATTTTTGATTTAGTACAATCACTTGTACACTTGGGTGGATCCAGTAACTTCTATTCGTGTTTAATATATTAATGGATAGACATGATATATTTGAACGGGCACAATCATTTATATATTATTTTGTAGGTGATATTTAATATTTATTACTAATTATTGTTGTTGTCATTGTTGTATTGTACTTTATACTTTTGTGTAAAACACAAAACCCCAGATTCATCATTTCTGCAATAAAATCAAATGGTTTTGTATTTTTGTTTCTCGGTTCATCATGCACGCATGGCGTAGTACTTTGCATTTTTATATTTCTAAATGAAAATAATTCATTTCTCTAATTTCATTTTCCAGTGTTTGTAAATCAATAGGCATTTTTATGTCCCTAATGCTTTTTTTCAAATATTTCTATATATATTTATTATCTTTTTTCTTCCTTTTAAATGTTTTATTTACAACTTATAAGTTGTTGCTATTAATTTATTGCTAAACAATATTTTATCGTTATTAATTATAGAGTTATTCAATGTATTTTATTTCTCTTCTCTTCTTTAAATTTATTCTTCTCTCATAAATGAAAAAAATCTCTTTAGCCGGTGTTTTCAATTCAATCTATATTTTTCTTCTTCTTAGCCATGTCTAGATTTTTGTGTTGTTCATCAGGGTAACCAAGCTATGAGTACGATAGAAAGATAACACTTTGTGTTGAATCTCCTTTTTTGTGATTGGTCAAATTGATGATTATATTCTATTAATTGTTATATTCATCAGGATATTTATGCAAAGTATTCTTAGCATTAATAAATAACCATGTTTCCTCTAATACACTTTCCCCGTATTAAAATGTTTGTTGCAATAGATGTGACACTGTTATTTAAGCAAAAAATAGAAGAATAGTGAATCATGTAGAAAAAGAGAAGATAAAAAGTAGAAGAAATAAGGGTGTATTTAAAGGAAAAACTTACCAACAAGAAAAATGTAGCAAAAAATAAAATGCATCCCAAACAAGAAAGTGTGGCAAACATTTCAATGGAAAGGAGTATTTTCATGTGTGTGTATAAATAAGTTTTTATCTAGTCCATCTAAATTTGGTATAGTTTGAATTAATCTGATTTGCTCTGATATATATACTCCCTCCGGTTCTTATTAAAGTTCTCACTTTCCTTTTTGGGATGTCCCTTATTTAAGTTCACACTTCCATTTTAGGAAACAAAACAATGCAAAACAGTGTCAAGCAGTGTCCAAACAGTGTCAAACAGTGCCAAACAGTGCACTCCACAGTAAAGTCAATTTCATTTTCTTAATATGTGTGAAGTCAAACTGGGAACTTTAATAAGAACCGGAGGGAGTATATATATATATATATATATATATATATATATATATATATATATATATATATATATATATTTAATCTATGTATTTTACAATTATAGAAGTCCGGTATAATTTGATTTGGGACCGAAACTGGGCCAATTAAAAACATTTAACTTGTGAGATTAAAAAAATGTAAGCTATGTGAATGTAATATAAAGGTGTAGAACAAGTGTGGTAAAAAAATCTATAGTGAGCACTCTATAAAATCCCTGTCAACCCTTCAAATTCTGCTTCATTCTCTTCCCTTGATCAGCTACAGTAGCTCATCTGTTAAATCGCTCCCATTTAAGAAACGATGGTTACAAATTTTCAGAGCTTATTAATAACCAAATCCCCCTCCTCCTCCTCCTCCCCTACCTCTTCAAACGAAGAGACGAAGTTCGGTGCAGAGCTAAGAAAGGGGCCATGGACGCTTGAGGAAGACACTCTTCTCATCAATTACATAGCTGCGCATGGCGAAGGCCGCTGGAATGTCTCGGCCAAATGTGCTGGTGAGTATTCTGAAGTCTGAACCAACCAATTTAATCGCAGGCTTGGAGAAATGCAGAATTCGGTGATCTGGTTTAATGGTTTTGATCATAACACTCTGTGCAGGGTTAAGAAGGACAGGGAAGAGTTGCAGGCTGAGATGGCTTAATTACTTGAAGCCAGACATTAAGCGCGGAAACCTTACTCCCCAAGAGCAGATCCTAATCCTTGAGCTTCATTCTAAATGGGGGAACCGGTAGATTGTTTCCTCAATTTCCGATTTTGAACGTTTTGATGGCCACTTTGGAAGCATGAAAGTACAGGGGAGGAATTCCTGATGAAAAAATTTGTGGGAGAAAATCAATGGTTTTCTCAAACTCAATAAATTTAAAAGTTCTTATTAATCTTTTTTTACACTTATATTTATTTTATTATGAAATAATTACATATATATGTCTAAAGTAAAGATTGTTTACAAAATCTAGACTAGTAATTAGAGTAGAAATGAAATCATTGTATTAATTATCTGTCATATTTGTGTAAATAAGTTTTATTTTAGTAATATTTTTGAAAACCCTCCATTTATTATTTAGTCAATGAAATTCAAATGCATCTAAAAATTGACATTAATCGAGTTCATGTTCCTTAGCATTTTCAGGAGTTAAAACCAAATTGAATGTAAATAATTTTGTTTAGTAGGAGGATTTATGTTTCTTAGAAGAGTTGTTTTCTTATGTTTGCCCTTGCGCCCTTGCCATAGAAAAAGCCATAAGAAAATTAAACATAATATTTCTCGAATTATGTTTTTATATATTTAGATTTTTTTAGTCTTTGTATAATAAAATCAAATTGATAAAATGAGTTCGGACAATGTCTATTAAATCTATTGACCTTGAATCTTGTTTTTGTCTGTTTCCGAATTTCTTTCCTCTTAAGTTTCCTCCAAAAGAACCTTAAGCTATGTTTGGATCTGGGAAATTAAAATGTTACATAAAAGAACTTGATTGCTTATGTTTGGGTTTAACCGTTTAACTGAGAAAATAGAGAAATAAATAGATGCAGAGTGATTAATTTTTTTAAATCCTTTATTATATGCATTTAGATCGTTAATATTTATATAAGCCATATGAACAAAAAAATGAATAAAAAAAATTATTGAGTCTGAGCTGATATTTTAATTTTTGAAATTATTTTCTTTCCTTCAAAATTTCTCCCTGCCTTCTTTAGCCTTTTCAGTGCTCCAGAAGAACCCTTAGGGTTCTCTTATTTAACAATGTTTGTTTTGGTGGGATGCATTTTGATGCATGATTTGTGGGATGGTGGTGGATAGGTGGTCAAAAATAGCGCAGCATTTGCCAGGAAGAACAGACAATGAGATAAAAAATTACTGGAGAACAAGAGTCCAGAAACAAGCTAGGCAGCTCAAGATCGACTCAAACAGCAAGAAGTTCATTGAAGCTGTTAAAAAGTTTTGGATGCCCAGATTGGTTGAGAAGATAGAACAGCAGCAGAACACTTCTTTGATATCCCCCTCCTCCAACAGTTCCTCCTTATTTTCTTCTTCTTCTTCTTCTTCATCCACTCAGCCTATCACCACAGAAAAGCCCAACTTACTTGTTATTACTTCCCCATCATCCCCCAATCAGGAAACCGATACTTATACTCCTCCAGCAGTAATAATAACCCAAGAAACAGGCAAAACAGACAGCTACAATGAGATCGAAGATGACTGTTACCATGTAGAAATAATGGAAAATAATTCTTGTTATGATGCTGATGAGGCTTGCTTTGGCCACTACCCTGCCTCCATGCCAGCATTCGACTCGCGTGATGTTTCCTTGCTGGGGTGCCAGATGGGATACGATGACTGGTTCGGTGATGAGGTGGTAGATGCGTTGTGGGGACAATGTTGATTGTGCTAGTACATCCTCTCCATTGTTAGTTCAATACCAAGAGTGATGATGATGAGTGATGATTGCAAATTAATTAACCAATTAATAGACAAGTTAAGAAAGAGTTGCATAAATATGTGGTTATTAAAACACAACTATGTTAATAATGTCCACTAGTGCATGCATAAGTGCATCACAGTGGCTATGGCTATGGAAGTGTTACTAATTAGCTTATGTAGAGAGTGGTAGTCTCCAACTATTACCAAGACTAAACTTTTTGGTTGATGAAAAAAATCAAATGTACATCATGTAAGGCAAACAATGAAATCAAATTATGTATGTTGCATATGGACAGTAACTATGGTTAGCATTTGTATATCTGCATGTATTATTTTTATGTACAAATGTAATTTATTTTCTCCACACATTTAGTGCATAGTTAGTTAAGATAGAGATACTCAATATCATCTTCACTGTTCACGTGTATGTATAAATATACCAAAGTGTAAGGAAAGATAAAACGATACTCGATGCCCTTCTCGACAACTGCTCTGACATTATCCAATCGATTATTTCGTCTACGGCCACCACTCAATACACATTGGAGAAACATTCCCTAACATATACAAGTACTTCTTGTGGCCGCATTATCTCGCTCAAAACGACTTTAGCTTGTGCACAAAAAGGATCTCGCTCCGTCACTGCATGCCTTATTGGAATGTATGCCCTTTTGAAGCCTTGGCTCTTGCACAGAATCGATTCCTTAGGAGGTTCTTGTTTTAGACGTCCTTAATGACCTAGATTCAGAATATGGTGAACTTACATCACCCATCCTAGTTCGCTCAACAACGCTTCCTCTTGTTGAACTCAAGGATATCCTCCTAGAGGATGAAACTCGCCTACAAGATGCTATGACGACCAACACTTCTGTTTCCCACGATCAATGTGACTCAATCCGAGGAGCGCTCATACTCCAAAACCGAACGTCGATCTCACACCAGCGGTGATAGTGAGGTTCGTTCAACCGTCGAGGCTGTGGAGGTAGCAACTTTTCTCACCCGTGTTCCTCATCCAGCTTTATTGTGTGTAGGTTCTGTGAGATCCTTGCTCATGATGTCAAGCAATGCAAGAAATTACAATGTAAACTCTGAGATAATTAATGACCTCATCCATATACTTTGTTTGTTCATCATACTACCATGATGTCCGCCTCTCCGGGTGAACTATGGTTGTTTGAAGGTGAGGATTCACATTATGTTACTACAAATGCTTTCATGTGACCGTCATATATAGATCATGGTGGTCCTTAGCAGTTTCACCTTCATTACCAATCACTCACACTAGTCAAACCATCCTCTTGTCAAAACTTATCTCTATCTAATAAGATTTTTTTTGTTCTCTTCACAAAAATTTAGTTTCGGTTGCTAAACTTTGAAAAGTAACCATATTTCAATTGATGTGTTTCCCTCTCTTTTTCTTCTCCAAGAGAGGCTCATGGGTGCGCCACTATTGTGCGCTGAGAACCTTATTAATGTTTAGTATGAACCTCTTTCGACTTCACTATAAGTTCACTCTACCCGAGTCTGTCCGCCGCCACCTTTGTTTTGTCACCCATCTCATCATTTCTTTACTATATTAATTGGTCAAAATAAACATCAGTTTCATTCATATGTGGCAGATGATATTTGTTTAGACTCTTGATTAATTTTAATTCATCAAAGTACAAATTTATTGTTTTTTAGAAAATCTATGAATGCCACTCGTCCGTTAGATATAATTAATTCTGATGTATGGTGTACTACTGATGTGTCTCTCAATGGTCACAAATATTATGTCAATTTTGTTTACTTTTACACTATTTTGTTGCCTGGTTATTTTTTTAAAATTACTCAGTACCCAATCGTAAGTGGGAAGCCTTTGCAGCACGGTAATTTTATTGTTGTTAGGTTGTTGTACCCATTATTTCTCAAATTTTCGATAATAATAGGAAACGTATTAAATTTGACTTCTACCTAATTCTAATGGACTTTCTCACTTTACAACTTTCCCACATACCCTGTGAGTCTGTGACACAATGGTGTCGTTGATCATCGACATCGACACATTGTTGATATCGGTCTCATGGAACTCCATTATGATGGCTTAGCTTACTTATTACCTACTCACAATGTGCCTCTTCAACAATGTTGTACCTTATCAATTTCCTTCCTACCCTCGTCCTAAACAATGACACTCCCTATTTTCGGCTTTACCAAACAACTCCTAACTATATTGAACGTCACGGCGTCACCTTTTTGGTTCTTTGTGCTTCCATGGCTACAACCTTGCAACTCCACAAAAACTCAACCCCGGTCTTAACCATGTGTATTTATGGGATATTCTACATCTCGACGCACATATTTTTGTCTTGATTGTACTTGTGGTCGTGTATACACAATACTTGTCACGTCCAATTTTTCTCATCTCAATTTTCGTTTTGTCACCCTAAGATACCCCAAGCCCCGTATGAAATATCTTACTCTTGACTTCTTTGATTGTGATCTTGTGGTGCAAGGACAGTGGAAGGTCTATCATACCTTTACTAAGCTCCATAATGCTGATATTTTGTCAAAGTTATTAACTCGCTCTTCATTTGAACACTTATGATTCAAGCTTAGAATTTCCAAATAAACTTCCATCTTGTGAAACCTTATTGGAGTGTGACTATAATTTAGCATGTGTATTTTATGTGCAAATGTATTTTATTTTCTTCACACATTTAGTGCATAGTAGCTAGGATAGAGACAATCACGTGTGTACTTCTTTAGCGTTGTTCATGTATATATATTAATAAATATACTAGTGTAAATGATACTCCTTATTGGATATCAATCAATGAGAATAATTATATACTCTTCAATGCATTGCTATGCTTTTCCTTTGTGTGGGTGATTTTTAAAATATGACGGAGAAAATGTTATGGAAGATATAAAATACTCATTAAACAGTAAAAATAGTATTGTATGAACTAAAAGAGTATTAAAATCTTTAGGTGGGTGAGGATTCTAGATCCAATGGTGAAAAGGTACATTCTCATGCATAGCTGACTCATTTGTGAAAACAAAAGAGCCTCAATGGGGCTGAAGTTCAAGTGTAAGGAACTTCAGGAGAGCATAATGATATGGGACTGAAATTCTAGTGTAAGGGTTAGGTCTACATTAATGGGTCATATCTCAGTCAGAACATAGTGATTCAGACCCATATCAATGGGTCAAGTCTCAATCAGAACATAGCAATTCAGACCCAGACCAGTTAATTTATTTATGATTTCATAACAGGCTCTTATACCAAACGCGTATGAAATTATCATTTCAAACCTCGGATCCATCGGGTTCGGAAATCGAGTGTGGTTGTGATACCTCGAAAATTATACTCTCTCCGTCTCAAAATAAGATCTTTTTTCAAGAAAGTAAGAGTTTTCTTAGTTATACTTGAAATTGGTTTAATTAGTTGAATTTACTAAAAGTGTTAGAATTATGAAACGACAAAATTGGTTGAATCTATCGTATTATGAAATTGATTTAATATATACGAAGTATTTCATTTAAATATTTATATGAAAAAACTAAAATAGTCATGATACTCCACAACTTAAATTACAATCTTTATTGATTTGATCATTGAGTTATTCATGCGTGAAATGAAAATTTTAATATATAACTATATATCGGAGATTCAACTAATAAAGTTTTTAACAACTAACCAATAAAGTTGACGAATAGAAAAATGAGTTTCCCAACGGTTTCTTCATTTTTTGAAAGGAAACGAAGGCTGATAAGTATGTTAGAAAAATGATATTAAAATGCGAGTTTAACCAGATAAAAATTCCGAGTTTAAACAAATCACCAGACAAACCACCAAATGCAAGAATAAATAAAAATAATAATATTAATTAGAATAAATTAAAATAAATAAAGAGAAAAGATAAGAAAAACTTATCGCAGGATCGCCCGTTATAACGGACTGGCCTTGAAGAAAGATAGCCCCCGTATCCCGATAGCTATTCGGACGGGTCTGGCTAGCTCGCTCCCAGGATAATCCTACCACGTTTCAGGCGTGTAGCTACCTTGACTGAAACCTTCGACCGTTGCCAAAATTGCCTTGAAAAGAGATGACCCCGAAAAATGAGAAAAATTGACTGACTATGAAACGGATGAAGCTTCTCTTTTTAATGGACAAATCCAAACACTTAAAAGACTTGAAAAGAAGCACACGTATGAAATATTAGAAAATGAGTGAGTGCTTCTATGCTTTCTTTTGCACGTAGAGAAGGAAACTAAAGCACTTGATGCTTCTAGGATGTGTACGTGTTATCCCAATGAGAAATGATAATGAGCAGCTATATACTCATTTGAAATCAGAACATCAATATAACTATATGAATGGGAGTAACGGTTGTTCCATTATCCATCTTTAATGGTCCTTAAACAACCCTTGACCAAGCTTCAAATTCAAGTTTTGAAACGTTGGGATGCAACTTAATAGTTATCGGTTTTATTATCATTAATCATTAAGATTAAGATAATAAGCCATTTCAAAATTATTGTCCACATACAAATTAAATAGCCTTTTATCTTGAGACATTTTTCCATATACTTTTAGATCATCCCGAGCAGGCCTGAACGTATGGAATAATATTTCAAGCTACCATATGTGATACTTGAATGATATTCCTTATCACATACTAGTAATATTTTATTAATAGACTATTTATTTATGATATAGGACAATAACTTACCGTTTTGACATTTCACTTTACAACTTTTACAACTATGGATTCTAATCACCAAATGAAATAAATCCAAGTATGAAAGTTGTACTTTGATAATAAGCCACTCCCATTACTTATATTTATATTACACATATATCTCAGGACTCAAAATGAGACCACTCAAAAAAATTTATTTCATCATATTTCCAACAAAGTATTCCACATTTTCTATTCAAACATCGATTTACCTTTCATTATTTAATTATTACTTTTTCGATAAGTATCTCAAATTTAAATCAAATATGGAGTATGTGTTTGTAAAGGTATAGTCTATTTAATTAGGTTAACTATAACCCAACCCCACTAATAAATCAAATTCTCCATTAATTTATACAAAAACTTGGTATTCAACCAGGCCAGTCGTATTCAGTTTTCCCTGCAATCCAACGCATTCAGTATAGTCACCCAATACATTTTTTAATAAAGTCTTAATTTAATTAATATATATACTATCTTTGTCCTAAAACACTTTGTCATTTCATAACTTTGAACTGTGATTTTGATTAGTACTATCCTCCGTTTCGTTTTAATCGCAACATGTTGAATTTTACACTATTCACATGCTCTACTTTGAGTCTTTGACTACATTTTACGCTATTATTTTATGAAAA